TCCAAGAGCACCTGAAATCTTCACCTGGATATAATTCGGGGTGTTTCTTCCCTTTTTGCATTACCAGCCAACACAAATCTTTTTAGAAATTGGCCAGAGCAACCTTTCCGGCACTTAGTAGAGAATCGGTAAATGAATCAAGGGAAACACATCACCTACATAAACATGGTGCTTTGCTAAACTAAATGAAAGATCAATTGGTAATTGGAATCCTCTAATGATTTGTCTAATTAACACCAAAATTTCTATTTGATGATATCCAAGAATAATGGACAGTTGGAACTTTATTTGTTGTTTCTTTCAGATTGAAGGCATTCAAACTATGCAGATCAACAAGACAATAGTGAAAGAATTCATCCTCGTTGGCTTTTCTCTTTACCCAGATATACAGATATTACTATCTGTGATATTCTGTTGCCTCTACCTTCTCACCCTCATGGGTAATCTGATCATCATGGGTCTAACATGGGTGGACAGAGCCCTCCACACCCCTATGTACATCTTCCTGAGTGTACTCTCCTTTTCTGAGACCTGTTACACATTGAGCATCATCCCCAAAATGCTGGCAGATATACTGACTGAGAACAGAAGCATCTCAGTCATAGGTTGTGGCTTACAGATGTATTTCTTCTTAGGACTTGGGGGCACTAACTGCATCATCCTCACTTTAATGGGATATGATCGCTTTCTGGCCATCTGCAACCCTCTCAGATACTCACTGCTGATGACCAACATAGTATGTGGACAACTTGTGGCCTCTGCTTGGGCTGCAGGCTTCTTTATCTCTCTGATAGAGACGGCACTGATATTCGGAGACTTTTTCTGCAGTCCCAACCTTGTCAAACACTTCTTCTGCCATATGCGTGCAGTTGTGAGATTATCCTGTTTAGACAGCAGCCTCATAGAATTCATTGTAACATTGATCTCAGTATCAGGTTTGCTGGGTACCTTCCTTCTCATTATCCTCACTTATGTCTTCATTCTTTCCACTGTACTCAGGATCCCTTCAGCTGAGGGAAAGCAGAAGGCATTTTCCACCTGTGCCTCCCACCTCACAGTGGTCATAATCCATTTTGGTTTTGCATCTATTGTTTACCTGAAGCCAGAGGCTTCATGGGGAGATGACACACTCATAGCTGTTCCTTACACTGTTATTACTCCTTTCCTCAGCCCCCTCATTTTCAGCCTCAGGAATAAGGACATGAAGAACGCTTTTAGAAAGGTGGTAGGAAAGATAATAATCTAGAATAAATGATCTTGTATTACTGCTGTTGGTTTAAAG